TTAATAGTAATTCACAATAATATTTTATCCAGGTCATAATTTTGACATTAAATTTCGAGTTGTGATCAAATTATCTATATAAGAAATAAGTTAGTTTTTGTCAAGTATGTATATCACTAGATACACGTAATTTAGTCAATTATAATCATATAGATGCATTTGCCTCTACCACTTAATTCTATCTCAAATGAGTAATAACACATTAACAACGCTAGTTTATTTGCTCTTTAGAGCAAAATTTACATAAACTTTATGTTAGATGTAACATTTTGTAGTACACGTACGCCCATATCCACTTGTATGTAAGAATTTGTACATATTTAATCTATTCTCATTGTGATATTTACTGTTTTTTTTTTTGGTAGTGAATTCTGCGTAATAACACAACCTAATGCTTGTCCAAAATCACATCATTATATTGTCAAGAAATGTTAAAATTAGCCAGCTAATAACCACTCATATTTTAGACAAGTTCTGTAACACTTTCGTGGGAAATTTAGTTAATTATTTGCAACTTGAAAATTTTGACTCATCAACTTATTATTAATAATATTGATCTTTCAACATTATTAACGGCCATTTCATTACCTTACAATATCACTTTGTTTCTACTCTTTCTTTTCTCGAAACATGAAGCATGCCACTTTGATTATTTTATTATTGTTGATCACCTTTCTAATTAAAACTCTAATCTAGCTTAGCTTGCTTAACCATAATCGCTTTTGTTTAAATCTTATACGTGTATAAGCAACGGTTGACAGTTGGGAACGTTTCTCGAGGCAAATAATGGATTAGTTTAATCTAGGTTAATTAGTTTCCTTAATTTGACTCTGCGATGTGTCTATCTTATGACTCCTATGTCGTACAAACCACATGCACTTTTGATTCAAAGTACTATTGTAGGACAATAATCAGTTAATCACTCCTCTTATATTCATGTTTTATGTACTTTGGTTGTAGTTTTATTTATAGTTATTGTTTTTACATAGGCTTGATGTGCATTAGTGCATTACCTACTAAACACACGTTATAGTAAAACTAATACCAATGCAAACACGCGTTTATAGTAAAGCAAATAAGAGTTTGTACTAATTACCATTTCACCTTATTGTATTAATGGTTTTGATTAACTAGTTGTATGAGGTATTTATTTTGTACATAAAAGTGTTCGATATTATAAGCTAAAATCTTATACCTGTTTTATTATTTGAACGTGTAATATAATAATACACAAGTACTAGAATATGATTATGATTTGCGATATAAATTTAAGTAACTTTAAGACAAAGTTGTCATTTGGCTATATTAATTTCACAACTAGGTAACATAAAAATCTCATATTTCCCAACAATACATAAAAAGGGTTCAACACTAACCCCTCATTAATTCAACTCTTTAGCAAACAACAAAAATAGTGGACTTAACCTTCAAAATAGGTCAAATCAACTCACTTTGATCAAAATTCTCTTTACCAAACAAGCCTTGGTATCATGGTCCGGGAGTTTGGACCCCGAAACGTGCGGCGCGCTCTAGCCTTTTGGCGGCAAGAACGCTAGCCTTGAGCAGAAGAGGGGCTTGCGAACACAGAGCAACACAAGCGGGCAATTAAATCAAAGAGCACTCACGTCTATTTGGGCGACGGAGTGCGGGTGGTCGGGGCTTGTGACAGACGATAATTCAAGGCGGGCACAAGCGGGTCCGAACCACGAGTTCTTAGTGCATCAAGTTGGTTTGGAGGGGAGCAATTATGCAAGTAAGACACAGTATCTATAAAGGTCTAACAACAAACAAGCATAAGAGCAGAGCAACACTTGGTAGAAGGCTTAAGATTTCATTAATCATTCACCCTCTAAAGAGCTTTAAAGGACATACAAGGAGAATCACTAGTGAACACTAATCTGACAGTAACACAATAATGGGACCTCAAGCTAAGAAAGCATAAACTAAACTCTAGGAAAGCACATAAAGGAAATCTAATACATCAAAAGGAGTTGGATTCTAACACTTGGCCACTTTTATAAACCAATGAGCACTAAAAATTTTGTAATATGCCTTTAAGGTATAGGTAATATAATGACCTAAATCGACATGTACACTCTAAGTAGAGGTGTCAAAATCAACACGACCTAAAACTGACTTAAAAAAAATAAAAAATAAAAAATCAAATTTATAATAAATCCGATCTGATTCAATGTTACAGAACTCAATCCGAACACCCGAATAAACCCCTGTAGCTACTTCAATGTTGAAAATGAAGCTTGATTTACCAACTTAAGAAGGCAAAACCACATCCAATACATGCAAATCTAAGAGTTAAATATACAGCAGAGTTTTAGTATAAGTGTCTTAAAAGAACAAAACAAGAGCTTACAGTACAACTGTATAAGTACAACTAGTATCAGGCAACCACACCGTGAATTATTCTTCCACTCTATTATTTTTTAAAAAATTTAAACCCCAAATAAAACAAATTCCAACCGATGGATTTCCTGTTTCCTAAATATAGTAATTATTATCTGGCGGTGATAATATTGCCACGTCTCCAATAATGTTTCTATTTATTTGGGCAAATCACAGTTAACTGCATCAGAAGGTTACAATAGTGCCAACTGTGCCAATTATTTTCCATTTAAGAATATTATTCACATTTTGTCGGACGGCTAATAATATTATTGCTTCATAAAATAATGAAGCTATAACTCTAATTTTGGATTTTGAAATAATTATAGTCGGAGGTATTTAACTTTCACCAATTAAAATTGAGGTGGTCTTTTTTATTTCTGCTATATAAGTCAACTCTTAAGAAGTTTGGTGTCCACTTAAAATATCTAATATGTCATTAGGGCCTAGCTTAATTTTAATTCAGTCCAGGCCAGTTCAACTCCAATTACTTTAGTTCAATTCAGTTCAACTCCTAATTTCCTTCTCTCATAAAATATTCATTTCAGCTGCGCTCTATTCAGTTCAATTCAATTAAGTTCCAATCAGTTCCGTTCAGTTCAGTTCAGTTTAGCTCCAATCAATTCAATTCAGTTCAGTTTAACTCTAATCAATTCAGCTCAACTCCAATCAATTCAGTTCTGTTCAGCTCACTTTAGTAAACGTGAACATGCCCTTACTTTTAATTGCAAATTTTAAATTATTCTGCTATTTTTGTCTTATATTTATAACATTTCGCGCATTTAATTCTAGTTACTACCGTATAATCATTACTCATACAAATCAATAAGCAACATTTTCAATAGTTGTAACTAAAAAATGCTTGTAATAATTCTTATTAGCAAGGCTTGTCATCAATTGAGATGTTCTTAGAGGCATTTTATTTTGATCATAAAAGTGACAACTTTCGTTCTATTTCTGATACGACATCAAAGTTTCGTGTGACAATTAAATCCAAACTAGAGTAGAAGAAGGCGTGTTCAATTATAATGGATAATTAACAAACTAATAGTAGGATGATTATGGGTTGACAAAGTAGACAAAGATTGATAATGACTTATTTATGTTACTAACTGTTGGTTTTATGGCTCTAAAGTGATCTAATTACTTGACCCTCCTACTATGCCGACAATTAAGTTATCTTAAATTCTTAATTAATTAGTTGATATTCTAAAAGCAAACCTCCCATGTGTTAAAAGTCAATTAGGAGGCGTGGAGTTTATCTTAATTTAGAATATATTTTAATTTGTTGGTCAACATGAATTAGGGCTATAATACAGTATTAGTCGGTAGAATTTTGATTTTTAAGCAAACACAAATCATATGAGCAAGCTTAAGGCTTTGAAAGTAAGAAACATTTGTGCAACCTTGAAAATAGATGGTACAACTTCAGTTTGGTATAATCACTTTTTTTTTTAATAATATTTTCAAGATTAATAAGCTATATTGCTAAATTGAATCGTTATTTTTTGTATGAGATTTACCGGGCAAAAATTAAATCACAACTAATAAATAAATTAAACAATCCAATATGGTGTCGTAGTATCTACAATATGGTTGGTATGCTCGTAGAAAAGGTAGCTATTTTCATAAACGGAATGTGGTAAAACCCCATATTATATTTTTGTGTTAAAAAAGTTCCACATTGGTGCTATCATTACTAAAACTAATGCATCATTAAACACATTAGAATATATTGTGATGAACTAGTAGTTGACTGTTTGTGTCATTTTATAATATAATAATATAAAAAAGTCAAAACTTCAAAATGCATCAACTTCCCGTCAAAATAAATGAAATTCCTATTGCTATTGCAAGTACGAGACCATAACAATACACAAATGAAATCTTAGACGTTATTACTAATTATATGTTCATTGAAGTTTTTAAAGTAGTACTTTAATCTAGATTATTGTGCAAACTAAAATAATATAGTATTTGTTTCAAAATTTTCATCATTCCTTGATTAGTAAGCTTACACGTCTTTTATTGTCTAAACACGCTTATACATAGTATTAAGAAGTATTTTGCAATACATTTTATAAAGTAATATTTTTCCTTATCGATTATTAGATATATACTACGGAGTATTACTCAAAAGTTCTATGGAACAAAACATTTTCTTTTATACATATTTTTTTGTTGATTTAGTTTTCAATCAACTTTCTTCATCTTATACTTTAACGAACTACTCTTGAAAGATTAGGAAAGTGGATATATACTAGCTAGTACCATACCTATATCAATATACATACTTTAATTTGACAATCAAGTTTTATATTATGCTTTTAAACAAATAAAATTGCCTCATCAATGACACTAAACTTGACTATGCTTTTGTTATAACTAACCAAGTAATAAGCGTGTACTAGTAGCATTGACCTAACTATAATTTGCTTTATGTAATTAATATAACTAATAATTACTGTAACTCCTAATTAAGGCCTCACAGTTCCTATCACTTCAAAAAAGAAATTATCTATATATTTTTTAAATAAAAGAGTTATGATTGACTAATAATCCCACTTTTTGGGAAGAAAATTAGCATTATAAATAGCCTCTACTTCCACCCATATTCTAACACACAGCATAGCAAGCTTAAGAAAAACATAAAATCATACACAACTTTTTCTCTTGCTCTATCCCTTTCTCTCTTAACACATCTTCTACAATCACAATGGGGGTTCCCGTTTATGATTTTTCGAAACTTGATGGTGAAGAGAGGGCTGCTACCATGGCTCAGATCCATAATGGATGTGAAGAATGGGGATTCTTCCAGGTACTTTATTGCATAAATATTTGTCTTGTAATATAATTTTGATCATTTTGTTATAATGTATTGGCCTTAAAAAGAGTTTGCTAAAGTATGTGGAGCTGATTTTTCTTGCAGTTGGTGAATCATGGGATTTCAGAGGAGCTTCTGGAGAGAGTTAAGAAAATCAGCTCTGATTGTTTCAAGCTCGAACGAGAAGAAGAGTTTAAGAAGTCGAAGCCTGTGACAAAGCTGAATGAGATCGTCGAGAGCAAAAGTGAAGAGAAATTGGATGATGTTGATTGGGAAGATGTCTTTCTTCTTACTGATGACAATGAATGGCCATCAAAACTTCCTGGATTTAAGTAAGCAGTTTTCTGTATTCCTCTGCAAAATCTTATTCTTGGGTTTTCAGAAACATTTTTACTTACAGTCTATACTGGTACAATATAATAGCATAAAAATGCATCAGAGCTTGACAAAGATCTTCAAATCTCGGAGATTTTTAATCATCTCTTGAAAGGATATAGTTATTGTTTGTTGAATTATTAATTATGGACTATGATATTTAATAATATCAACAATCATGTGTATGACAGGGAGACAATGACAGAGTACAGAGCAGAACTGAGGAAACTTGCAGAAAAACTGATGGAAATAATGGATGAGAATCTTGGTCTGCCAAAAGGCTACATCAAGGCGGCCTTCAACGGTGGAGAATCTAGTGAAGGAGTGGATGAGACCGCCTTCTTTGGCACCAAGGTGAGCCACTACCCACCCTGCCCCCACCCTGAGCTTGTGACAGGCCTGCGAGCCCACACAGATGCCGGTGGGGTGATCCTGCTCTTCCAAGACGACATAGTTGGTGGATTACAGATGCTTAAAGATGGACAATGGATTGAAGTGCAGCCTGTTCCAAATGCCATAGTCATCAATACAGGAGATCAGATCGAGGTCCTAAGCAATGGAAGGTACAAGAGTGCCTGGCATCGGGTTTTGCCTAATCTTGAAGGGACTAGGCGGTCCATTGCCTCGTTCTACAACCCATCCTACAAGGCATCCATTGCCCCTGCCCCACAGCTCGTCGAGGAGGTCAAGGAAGAGGAGGAGGTGGAGAAATCTCCCAAGGAAAGTGTCAAGTATCCGAGGTTTCTGTTTGGAGACTACATGTCTGTTTACACAGAACAGAAGTTCCTGCCTAAAGAACCCAGGTTCCTAGCTGTTAAGGCCGTGTAAATTTTCTCTTTTTTTAACTTCAAGCACATAATGTAACTGTTGGAACACAAAGTTCCATCAGTAATTTTTTTTTAATCTTTATTCCTTTTTTTTTTTTTTTTTTTGTGTTTTTTCAAAGCATTCTACCCTCTAATTGTGGGTTGGTGGATGTCTTTGAAGTAGTATGGTGTTAAGAAGTTGGATTAATGTAATCCTTATTCTGTAATCTAGACTTCTTTTTAATTTTTTTGCGGTATCAGTAATCCTGACTTATTTATCGACAGCTTATTACGTACGGAGTACTTATGTTCATGTTTGGTTTGTTTCTGATACTTCCCCAAGCAATATAGCACAGTTAATTCCTTTTTCGGTTTAAATCATTTTAAAAGTTTTGACTATATCTTTCAGAAAATTACAATTCAGATTCATTAAGAAATGCAGAAGTTTCTCTCAGTTGCACGGCGATATACTTATATTTATATACATCAAAATCATAAAGTCAACCAGCAAGAAGAGATTTGTGGATAATACTATACATATTTGCAAAACTAATGCAGAGTAATAAAAAAAAATGGAAGATAACAAAATAAAGGCATGCAACAAAAGCAAAGTATACAAGCAGATAAATATCAGCTAATTCAGCAGCAACAGGTACTTCTAATAAAGAGCTATAGACCAACAGAATGCCTTCTCTTCGGTTTTCTTTTTCGCTTCACCCATTGAAGTCTTCATCATCTTAGTGAAACATAATCATAAATTGTTGTAGAAGTTCTTACTTACTTTCAGCTTTCCTATCTAAACATTAGTTTAGAAGCTAATTTTTTACTGTTTGATTTATTTATCCAAAAGTTGGTCATAATTTTAGTTACAGGATTCTTCATCTTGCTATGTTTATAACATTAATTATGCCTTCAAATTACTGTAAGATCAGGGAGCAATATTGTTCAGCCTACACCAAGAGGAAAATGGAAGCAATAATAAAACTTAATACAGAATCCTAGTTTTACCTCTGCTTTCTAGTATTCCACTGCCTAAGACACACTACTCATCTAAGATGCCCTCAAATTTCGAGTATCTCATCAAAAATGTTTTGGACCTCCATTTAACATTTGGTTTCGCTTTCAATCACCTCACAGAGCAGTAGCAATCGGTACAAAAGCTGACTCGTAAAGGATAAAATCAGTAATATTCATCTCATTGTTCAGTGTCCACAGGCCACAATAGGGTTAACGCCTTCAATTTGAATGCACTAGAACGTTGAATAAGTGTGCTTTAAGAAATTTTTGTAAGACCACCTAGAGCACTGGCCTTTACACTGCTCCCGCTCGGTATAGTTTTACTTGTACAATAGATTCTATTTCAAAGCTGCAAAGATAGCCAACCCTATACTGAAGAAACAAGGAAATGTCCTTACCTCCTGAGTCCTGACTGTTCCGATAAGATTTCTACTCCTACACCTTTTTACTCGCTACATTTAGCAACTCTATCATATATTCTTTCCATTTCAGTACAACTAGGTTTCATGTAACTCCTACAAAGCATTAATTTTGTCAAATTTCACAATTGCTTTGCAGTATTAAAATATAGTTAACACTCTTAGCAGTTTTAACACAATATCTAACGAATAGATTTTCGTATCAAAAAATATTATTTTCCATATTACAACTCAATTAAATGTTATTCTTTGTAAATCACTAAACTTTGATTACATTAATCAAATGTGGGCAGTACTACACAGAATAATGCAGTTCAACATGACAAAAGAAACAGGAAGCCTCAGTTGGGAGAAAACAAGGTGCTAGTTTAGCAAGTGAGGTAAGATGCATGTTGTAGTAGTTTGATTACTGAACAACAACATAGTGGTATGTTCTAGATCCAATCAAATTATGTTTTGGGTTTATTTTAATAATTAATGATTGGATTCCAGGTTAGTTCTTAAGGAGTACACCCATTCAATTAGATTGGAACTGCATTGTCAGACAACCAATTCTGAAACAAATAAGATTCAAGTAGAGGCTAAATTATTATAAGAAAACAAAATGTGTCATATAATGACGGTGTTAATCAGCTTCAACATACCTTTTGGTGAGAAAAAAAAATTCCGAGTTCGAAGTTTCAATGGTTTATACTCTTCTGAGATCTGGGAAATTCCTGTTATTTACAACTGAAGCAAATTGCAATGAAAATAACAGAAGAAAGATCTCTATAATGCTAGAGAAAAATAAGTGAGTTTGTTATTATATATGTATGGGACTGAAACAGTATACAGTGTGACTTCAAAAAAATTGTGTAGAAAAAAATGACGTGGCAACCGGTAACTTTACGTTGGAAGCCAAAGTAGGAAATAAATGGTATTGTTAAACCGTATAATTATGATATTTGCAGACTATATAATTAACAAAATTATGTACAGCAATTTACATGAACCTGTAAAGTCACCACAAAACCATGGAGCCTGCTTCAAAGGGCCTTCTGATCAAGCCTCTCATTCCAGTTTAGGCAACGAATTAAACTGTGGAACCAATCGCCGGTCTGATCTGCTTTGTTAACTGTCGGGATTGGATGTTGGCTCATCGATATCCGAACCGAGTCTCCTCGAGAGAGTTGTTGCCTTCTTTTTCCATCAAAGGATACCCATGCATTGCTTCTTGCATCGTCAGGAACCTGATTTGCAATTCACCGGTGATTAAATTCCAGAATGAAATACTACCCCAAAGAAAAATCTAAGAAAATTGAATAAGTACACTGCATCAATTTAATATTGAAACTTTTCCAGTGTAACTTTTATATGTAGATGTTATCTAGAACTGCTGCATCACAAGACCTAACAAAACTAACATGTACAACAGGACAGTGGATTGTTCTCAAATTTGATAACACAATCCCATGGAGCAAAATCATGGATATGATAGTGCTAACAGTTTGCATTGTTTTATTATATTTAGCATCATTTACAAAATCATGGTTTTAGCATCATATACTACTTCGTTAACTATTATTTACAACAAAGGAATATTTTATATCTCACAAATAATACCTCTTTGTTGCAAATAATAATTAACGGAGGTAGTACATTTTTTGGTGAATGAATGTTTTTATATTTTTCCAGATGGTGAATGTGTACTTAAATGTTTATTAATTATACAAGTATTTAGTAAAAGGAAATTTTGTCAGATAACACCTTTTAAGTGTGATTTGTTGTGAGAAAACACCTTATAAATTTTTTTTTGTGAAAACACACCTAATACCAGAAATTATTTGTAAAATAACACCTAAGGGTGGTTTCAGGCATGTTGACTTGGTTTCACGGCGTTGACCACCACGTGTGAGTCACGTGCGCCGATTTACCCCCCTCCCTTCTAATTTTTTACCCTTTCTTTCCCTCCAACTCTATTTTCTCTCTCCTCTCAATTTCTTTCTCTCTCCTCTCAATTGCTTCTCTCTGTGTTGCTGCTCACATCACCATTAAAAGCTTCTGGAAGTTGCTCGGCCATGGTAGTGACGAATTGAATGCTTCAATTCGTGGTTTAAATTAGGCCAAGGAATTGGGTAAGTGTAAAAGTTATCTCTCCTCTCATTTGTTACTCAATTTCTGTTTGAGTATTTGCCTAAATTCTTCTGTCCTTTTTTTTTGTGTCTGCCATGGGTAAAAAAGGGAAGCCTCGACATTACTACTACCTCCATCCTATAGAATATTGCTAAGATTAATTGACCCCCAAATAAAAAAACCCTAATTCCAATTTAAAATCCTAACTTACGATGATTCGCAAAATCAACAAAATTAATGGAATAAGTCTTTAATTAATGCTACTTACCTAGCTGTCTCGTGATTATGCCATTTGAGTATATTTGCAGAAATTGGAGCTCAAATTTGGAGTTCACCTTCTTCAAAGGGGGACAATGGAGTTTGGATGGATGGAAGAGGAGAGGGGTTAATTGGGGAAGAAATTGAGAGGAGAGAGAAAATAAAGTTAGAGGGAAAGAAAGGGTAAAAAATTAGAAGGGAGGGGGGGTAAGTCGGTGCACGTGACTCCCACGTGGTAGTCAACACCGTAAAACCAAGTCAACATGTCGAAAACCGCCATAAGGTGTTATTTCACAAATAATTTCTGGTATTAGGTGTGTTTTCACAAAAAATATTTTATAAGGTGTTTTCTCACAACAAAACACACTTAAAAGGTGTTATCCGACAAAATTTCCTTAGTAAAATGCTTTTGACCAATTTAAAAAAAGATTGGATGTAAGGGACAGAAAAGCTCAAATGCAGGGGGGTAGCACCATTACGTAACGAATGATGCAGTGCAAAGGACATGACTTTTCCCAGCGTTACATATCAGGGTTCAGCGGAACCACCAGAACAGTAACTCCAAAAACACGTTACAAAATGACCCAAGTGTTAATTCAATGACCCATTGAACTAAACCAAAATAAACTTTTTTTTCAATATATTAATTTTCCAATAGACTCGAGACTCTCCCTGCTTGAATTAAATTGGATTAAATCTTCATCGAAACATGAGCTGAACTGAATTGACCCACTCCAAATGACCCATATTCCGTCTCTACATCATCACTTACTTCTATATATTCTCATTCAAATGAACAAATATGGGAAAATGGTTGATTGTAATGCTAAAAGCAGTTCAATTACTTGTCTTCTATATTCTTCATTAAATTGGAGCTAGACAAATTTCAGCAAAAGCACAGAGATATATACATAACAAAATTTGAACTTCACCCGTTTGAGAGCTGACTAGCATGCAAATGAAGATGGAGCAAGTGCAGTGGGCTAGACCATGACAAGGGCACCATGCAGCAAGGCCACAGGATTAATAGTAACAATTAGCGAATTTTTAAAAGTAAAGAGGAGACTAATTTAAGAAATGTTCTCTCTGTTATTTTATTGATATACCCTCTCTCCATATTGATGATATTTATTTGATGTACCCATTCAACTTTGTTCTATTTTTGGCAAACACCTTTTATCAATTTTAAACCCTCATCCACAATGTCTACCCCTTCACTCATTGTATCTTATTTAATCAACCCTTAATTTTTACATAAGGAATCTATGTGATCCTGGCATACCTCATAAATTGAAGGGTAAATTAACCGAACGACAATAAGGCCTGCTTTGTTATATGGTATAAAATGTTAGGCTATAAAGCATTGCCGCATGCATAAGATGTGTGACCATACAAGAAAGGATCAGTTGAGGGATGAGATAATAAGAAAGAGAGTAGGGATTATATCGATTTGATTACAAGATGAGAAAGAACCGGTTAGGGTTGTTTGGTCATGTACGAAAAAGATCAAGTCAGTCTCCAACAAGGAGGCTTATATAGGTGCAAAGTGTTGGGATTGCAAGGGGTAAGGGAAATACCTAAGAAAACTTGGAAGAAGGTGAGTGAGAGTGATTTGAGTGCTTTGGGGAATGAGGAGAATATAGTGTTTGATAGGACAGTGTTGAGGGAGAAGATTCACGTCAACGTGTCATGATTATATATATATATATATATATATATATATATATATATATATATATAGTTTGTTTATTATATTTCAGCATTTAATTTTATTATTTTACTTAATTCCTGTTTTATAAACTTATATTAATTTCCTTTTCTAAATTTTTCTCAAACCATTATGTTTTTTAATCACTCATTTTTACCACTCTTTTAATACTTTATTAAATTTATTCTTATCATTCTTTTAAAACCCTCCTAAATTTTACTTGGATGCTTCTTATTTCTCACTTTACACACCTCTTTTCAAACTTTTTCAACTATCTTGTTATATCCTTTTTTCTTCGTCGGATATTTCCTTATGTCGATTCATGTTAGCCAACCCCAAATCATTTTGGGACTAAGGTTTGTTGTTGTTTTCATGTTAACCAACCACAAATCATAATGGGACTAAGGCTTTGTTGTTGTTTATTTTTACACCAACCCATTTTTTAACAACCTCTTTCTTGTTAGATCCGCCTTTTTTCTTACACCCACTCACTTCTCCTATGAACAAGAGTCTATGGGTTGGGTAGATCCAAAGAAAACGGAGTAAATTAATCTGTAAAAAGGGTTCCATAATGTTTCATATTCTCATAGCTTAGCCACACATACTGAAGCCACAACTACCACAAGTATAATGTATGAAGGTATATCGTCTATACGTTATCATTAGTTTATAGTGTGGTTGGAAAATTCATGTTCAGGAAGCAACATAATTTTCTTCATATAAATATAAAAATTTGACTTTACCTTCAATTCCAGTCTAGCAGAATCTGGGAGTATCACTGGCCTAAATGAAAGCGAGTGTGGGCAGATAGGGGTAAACAGCATGCAGGGAACATTTGGATGAACCTGTATATCCAGTAAATTACAAGTCAATCATTATGACATACACATGCAAATTAGTTGTACAGTTTTGCTGCAATAGAATAGTATATTGAGAAAGGAAAGCAAGAATAACAATATGAACACTATTTAACAATAGTATTCCTCACTACTACTATGATTTAGCTCTCAAGGAGAAACGTAGAACAGAATCAGAAGACGAGCCAAGAGAACAAAAGGTGAAAAGTATCTTTAAACTCACCAGACGACTTCGTCTGAGCTTCTCAATTATTAGGGCAGATGTGCCTGGGAGGCTGTGATTTTGGTTGTTAGTTGGTTAGCAACCCACCCAATATTCTTTTTTTTTTCCCCTTTCTAATATAGAGTACTAATATAGAGTATAAAGGAAAAAGGGGGTTAAAACCCTTAAAAGATGTCTAGTTGAAACAAGAATTTCATAATTTGCTGAAATTTATAATAGCCAGAATTAAATGTTGCCTTAGGACAGCTTGACGGGTGAGGTAGATATATTTCAAGTTTGAAGGCAAAAGATCACCATATATTGATATTTATGTAATTTTGTAAGGAAGATTCCATTGTCAAGTGCATGGTAATTTTTTAATGCTCATCCATCACATATATCTCCTTTTTGTTCATAGATGACCATTAATAGACCATTACCACTTATGAAGTGGCAGAGGGATAATGAATATATAAGAAAAACACATGATTGGAGATGCAGTTACATTATCAAGTTTTTTAACATAAGGATGTCTTTTCTGCAGAACATCTAATTAAAACAGAGGGAGAGCTGACAGCCATGTCTTAGATCAAGGATCTAATGGAAATAGCAACTCTGTTACCATAAGGGTAACTATGAACATCGACCTCCCCCCCCCCCCCCTTCTCAACCCACCAACACACATCTGTATAAGCCTTGGGAAAAGCCGATATTGCGTTGAAGTATATCATTGTAATGCTTTCATGAATATCACGTGAAAAAATTAATTCATAAAGCAGAATCCACAGATAGATGACAGTAGAATGGATTATAAAGTTTTTGAAAACAGTTTCAGAAAAGTAAGCTCACCATGGAACCTCCTGCAGCTGTTGAATACGCTGTGCTTCCAGTAGGTGTTGCCACAATGATTCCATCACCTTGGACCTGCATCACGTATCAATTTGGAAAATAATTTGCAAGAAGAATTTAAGGAGAAACACAATTTTTTTCCTTAATCATGTCAGACTTGGAAAGAAAATTCATGTCATACAAGTTTAAGTTAAACTGACTGCAAGAACTTTCATTACTTTTCCTACAGGCAAGTATCCTAAACACTTGTTATGGATGATTGACATATATCTAGGAGAAATTTTCAACACAAAGAAATCACCCAAATGATGTTAGGTCATAATGAAGCTAGTAAACTTTGGAATTCCAGTCACTGTACCTTGGTTATAAGTCGGTCATGCTCATAACACTCAATTTTCGACAGGTAAGGATTTGAACCACGATCAACCACGACCTCATTTAACACATCAAAAATTTTACCAGGCATTGCCTTGCCATTCCGAAAAACCTCACACCGAAGTCGCATTCTCAGTGTTATATACACACCATCTGTAGTATTATTTCCGTGAATAACTTGTCTAAGGTCTTGTTTATAGTCATCAAACTGCACAAATTACACTGAAGAAATTAGTTGATGACCAATAAGTTGAATGGAGACAAGCAACCATTTAATAAAGCACTTGGTCGGAACCGCACACTGTGGGAGGTGAGAAAGCCAAGAGATCCAAGGTTAAATGACACCACTGGGGGCACGGCATCTCTAAATAAATTTGATGCATGAAGAATCACCCCGTCTCCTCCGAGACATGCAACAAAATCAACCTTTTCATGAAGATCGCTGCAATAGAAAAACAAACTAGCTCAGAGAGCTTGCAACTAGAATTTTCCCACATGAACTGAAGGGCTAATCATGCAAATAAAATAAAATTCTATGTTGCTCAGATTTGGGATTTGGGTACTTGTGTCTAACAGGGGTGGGTATCCAAGCATTCTGACTTGATAACTATGAAAAAGACTCAAAATGAAGGGTTAAAGTGTTCAGATAACTCCTAGCAGCATACTGTGTAAGATCAATACAATTTTGGTACCAAAAAATCTGGTTTTTGTACAAAAATTTTTGGTACCAAAATCACATATTTTGGTACCTGATTAAGATTTGGTAAATACCTCACTGTGAGGCCTGCGACTTACTCTAAAGTGTCCTACCCTGCTACCCATGTCCGAGTCAAGACTCCGACATGAATACTTGAGGTAAATGAAGAGTTCGAGTGGACTTCGAAAAAATTATTACCTTGTATCTTGACCATAAAATGTTTGAACAAAACCAAATCCAGGTATTCTTGCAAATATGTCATGCACATCTGGCTCAACAAGAACATTCATTTTTTCTTGATAATACAAGAAATAAGCAACCTACACATCCAGAAGAGAAAAGATTGCCCTGAGAGGTCGGCATGACATATAGTTGCTTACAGATCAAAACAAAACATGACACATTGTTTGTCATTATTCACTGCTGTATGTCTGTTACTAAACAATATATAGTAATTTGTCAATGAGAGAGAATAAAATGCATCTACCTTGAATGTACTAACACACCAAAACCAATTACAAGCAAAATATTTGTCACAGGTAAGCAAGCAAACTCAGTGGGTGACATTTCTTGGCCTCTACAATTTAATATTACATGATACTTATCAAGTAAAAGGAGAATACATAGATGGATGGGTTTGGCTGCAGAACCTTATTAGTGGGTGCAATTGTTTGTCATCAAAGCTTAAACGACAGGTTTAATCATAAAGGAAATGCCAACATTGATGAACAAGCCCAGTATATCTAATGCAACTATTGTAAACCTAACAATAGAACACTACTACAGCCAAATCAATCTTCGCCACAAATAATTTATGAAAACATTTTCCTTTTTCCACTATTGCCATCCCTTCCCCCTGTTTTAAGCAGTTGTGAGAAGGTTGCACCAATAATGCAATGCACTGTTGTATAAGCAGATTTTTGACATATGTATGAGCTATGATTCTTTCATTATCATGTAAATTTTTGGATTAGCATTAGCATAAGAAACCATGTAAACAGCATTTATCCCACCTTCAGCAGAGTCTAGGGAGGTTAAGATGTAGACAGCATTACCACTGGCCAGTTGAGACTAGTAATGGCAGCTGTCTCAGTCTCTGAGACCCACAAAATCATCATTTAAAAAAACGGGGCCCAAAAAGATGGGGAGTTCACAAAAATTGATTGAACATGGGGAGGAAAAAGTAAGGAGAGAATTTTTTACATCTTTAGCCTCTTCCATAAGTTCTGGTCCAAGCTTCTTCAGTAATAAAACAGTCTTTGGTGTAGATTTCCACATAAGCATCTGCTGCTGTGTACTTGGGTGAGTAAATGCAAGTGACGATTCTGTCACCTTTTCTCTTGTACAAGAGAATCCATCAGTGCGTACAAGGAACATTTCAGCTTTCTTTCTTGACTGTATCCTAACAACACCAGTTGCCGAAGCACACATGTTCTCGTCAACACCCTTTTCTCCTGGAACAACAGAAGAATGACCATTACTCATCTGATCAGACTTACTAGCATCAGATGTGTCCCTGGCCAAATTTTTATTCGTCACACTAGTTACAACATCATTCCTTATAACAAGAGGCCTGTCTCCATTAACAATTGTGCCACTAGAGGCATCTCTGTAAGCTAGAGTCGTACCATTGCCTGTGGCTTTATTTAAGTCACTCAAAGAGGAATCTGTGCTGCAAGTTGACCCATTTGAATTCTCAGGTTCTGTCAGCACCGACTCAGACTCCATTCTAACTTGCTCCATTTTCTCAATGCTACTAGTGTATGTTTCTCTGGGGGAAGGAAGCAACACTGAACTCCTCCGTTGTGTTTTGACAAAAGTGGATGGGGAGATCTTTCTGCTACCAAAAAATCTGGACATTTCTTTTCTAGACAAGACATTGTTGGGAGGAAGCTGTGACTTAAATGGGTTGATATTTGCGCCTGTACCGGACTCTAACATACTAGAATTCACTTCAGTCAATGACATACCACCACTGTGGATGATGTGACCCCCCTTGGTTTGCTGAACATTTGTTTCAATAATTACAGAATCTTGACCATGCAGCACCCCATTGAAGCTACTTGTATAATCTGACATATTTGGAAGCAGAGCATTTCCATCCTTCAGCTGTTTCTCCTTATTTACACTTGAAGGTGCATCAGTTGAAGACATTCCATCTCTTCCTTGCACTAATGTTCCATCAACTGGAATGGGACTATTGGAAACGTGCTGTGACTCATAGCGAGCCACATATTGCCTCCATCTTGAAACCACAGCAGATGTTCTCCACACACCTTCTTTACTATGCAGATAGAGGGGTCTCCGGCTGGGATCAGATACCAAAGATGAAATTTTCTCAACCTGCTCCATTGAAGGTGATGTTCCAATCTCAACCGGCAACTTAATTAGTTCAACCTTCCCAGAGCCAACAGCCTCATCTATTGCAACTTGATAGAAATTGTCATTCACAGTCTCAGCTCTAAGATCAACAATGGTCCGAAACCCTTTGTCTAATAGCCACTGTAAACCTTCTTCAGTCACCTGACCACCTCTCCAGAAAGCCACGTCAGAATCAGTAGGCGTTATATCTTCTTTACTAGTGGACATAGATACTGGAACCCAATTGGCAAACAACATATGACTGGGTGACTCTTCCCCACGTTGGAAACCCAAATCATAGCACACATTTTTAAGGCGCTGGAGTTTCCTCCATACATCAAGGTTTTTATCATCTCCAGGTGTCAAATAATTCTCCAGAGCAACATGCAAGCTTTCACAACACCTCTTGATTTCACTCCTAAAAGTTGCAAGTGGCGGAAGTTTATCCTCCATAGTGTTTATTTCTTCAACTCGAAAGGATGTCATAAGTGATGACCTGCCAGAAAGAACATCTTGTCTTCCTTTATTTAAAAGAGATATCATCCATCCAAGAACCGTTACTATTTTATCTTCCAACACCTCTGAGGAGAAATCATACGACACGGTACAAACACCAGTGAGAGGGTCACATAACATGTTCATCAGCGTAGTATGTAGAACTTCTGCAGCCCTAAATATCCTGCAGTAAGCCTCCACCTCTGCAATATCTCCGGGAACAGGACCAATCCAACGCAGTTGATTAACATCATGAGGCTGATACGTCTGCCAAGCACAATAAAGCATCTTCTAATTTATTTTTAAAAAATGATGGAAAAGAGCTTCAAACAAATTGTAACTTCAGCATCCAATATGACAATATTATTCCATATTGGTCCAGCTGACAGAAGACATAATACATTTACTAGCCAGCACACAGAAATACATTTAAGATGTTGTGGAACCCAAAAATGAACAGCTGTCTGGTTTCAGTTAGTCAATATGATACCAAAATAAGAAATGAGAGTATGATACTCAAACCAACCACAACCTCTTGTCAACAAGCATTAACTGTGGGAAAACAACATATGTAGGAAAGCCTAGTTTAGCATCACAATATCTCTAAAGTTTAAACAAATTCTACAATATTGACTAAAATTTGACGATGTAGACTTACAAACAAACATCAAAACTGCGAGGAAGACACTGGAAAATCGAAATATTCGCAAAATTAAAATTGCAGAATTCACCATTATGGAACTTGGTGTGCAAGGAGACAATGATTAAAATTACTACAGCAGAAGATTTGTTGGGGAATTTGTGTATGAACAAGGGTCACAAAATAGCAAACAAATTAGAACGGAAAACTTCGAGGCGTGAACGGAATCACTTCCCCAAAAGTATAATTCCGACCCTATACTACAACCGGTTTTCACGGAAAATTACTTAGGAGATACAACGAAGAAACAATTGCAATCTCAAGTAGGATGATTACAATTCAATGTAAATAAGCCTTTGGATTTATGATGATGATAATAAGTTGCAAAGAGGTTTCAAGAAAAATAAACTTCTGATTTTTCTCAAGTATATCCAACATATGTTCTTAGAACATATATATATTAAAGCATAATCTTTACCAAAAGCCACGAAAATAACTGACATTCTTCAAGCAAAACCTTTGAGAGGAACCCACACGGGGGGTTAATCCTAGCTCATTTTCCGGGGAAGAACGGTAGAAGAAGTCTTCCTAGGCGGGGACATATGCTCCCTAGATGACGAAACCGTCAGTTTCAACTTCCTCCCTGGCACGCGCCCGATCGGGCGAAAATCGACGTCAACTCCAGGCGTCTTCTCGCGCCCGATCGGGCAGTGGTGGCCCGATCGGGCGGCTGCCCCAAACTCTAGAAGTCCATTCTCGCACCCGATAGGGCGGCGACTGCCCGATCGGGCGGCGAAGATTACGATTTCCAGACTACCCTCGCGCCCGATCGGGCGAGCACCACCACGATCGGGCGTCTGACCAGGCGATGTACAGGGGTAGCAAACCAGAGTTTGAGTTGTTCTTTATCAATCTTTAATCAAGGTTAATTGCTTTAATATTCTTTATTAATTATACACAACACCTTTGCCTAAGTAATATAATTAATTAACATGAATTATGTCTCCAATTCTCAAAATTATTCAACAATCCTCCCCCATTTTGAGAATTAAACTAGACACATTGCAAAAACATCATCATCACAAAACAATCTTATGCATAAATGAAAGTGTACATAGACTTGAACTCCTACTTAGTGCAATATACAATTCAAGAATCCGTATCGATTTGGTATCGTAAAACGTTTGAACCAAAAACAACACATTTGGAAACTCAAAGATATTACACACACAAGACTAATTACTTAAATACATATTAGCTTAACACTAAAAGCCATGTGTCCATATCTATTCATAAGTACATCAAAGCTACACCCCTAATAGCTTCTTGAAGCGGCTAAACCTCGTACTTATATAGGTAGAGTTCCAACATGCTCCTGTGCCAAAGCACTATTATCAAGAATTCTATTAAGTTTAAAACAACCTCTTTTCATCACAAAAAAACCGAAACTTTACCTTGGATGAATAAACAAGTTCCCAATCATCAATTAAGAGAATTAATCTCATTGAACTTAAGATCCAACGTCTTATTGGGCGTTAAGTTGAGATTCTCCTAATTGTGATTATTTAGGGTTCCAATCCTAAACCGATTGCCATCCTACTGTTAACATCTCTAGCCAATGCCTTTGTAAAACAATCGGCGAGATTTAAATCTGTTCGAACATAATCAATAGTGATCACACTATCCTTGATAAGTCCTTGGATGTAATTGTGTCGTACTCTAATGTGCCTTGACTTACCATTATAAACTTGGCTATAAGCCCTTGCCAAGGTAGCATTGTTATCACAATGTATCACTATTGGTGATATCGGTTTTGGCAACAAAGGAATCTCAAACATGAGATCCTTCAACCATTCGGCTTCTTTACCAGCCGAATGCAAAGCAATGAACTCTGATGTCATTGTGGAGTCCGCAATGCAAGTTTGTTTCTTTGAATCCCATGAAATGGCACCTCCCCCATATCGGAAAACCCATCCACTTGTGGAGGAATGATCTTTGTTACAGATCCAACTTGCATCCGAATACCCTTCTACAACCGAAGGATATCCACTATAAGACAAACCAAATTCTTTGGTTTTCTTCAAGTACTTCAACAAGCGTCGAACCGCTTGTCAATGTTGCATACTAGGCTTGCTAGTGTACCTGCTCAGTTGACCAACTGCATAAGCAATATCAGGTCTAGTACTTGTCATGGCATACATCAAACAACCTATTACTCTAGCATATTCAAGTTGTGAAACCGCATAACCTTCATTAGGTATCAACTTTATGCTAGGATCCATAGGTGTTGAATAAAGAGAAGTAGAGTCTTCACTCACATTGAATTTCTTGAGCACTTTCTCAATGTAATGAGATTGTGACAAGATCAACTTTTCTTTTTCCCTCTTTATCCTTATGCCCAAGATGACATCCGCTTCCCCCATGTCTTTCATGGAAAACTTTGAACTAAGGAATGACTTTGTCTTTTCAACTTGTGACAAATCAGTTCCAAAGATCAACATGTCATCTACATATAAACAAATTATGACACCTTGACCATTGTCATCAAATTTGCTATAAATACACTTGTCTGAATTGTTCAACTTAAAACCACTAGACAACACAACCTCATCAAATTTTTGATGTCATTGCTTAGGTGCTTGCTTTAGCCCATACAAAGATTTAATCAACTTGCAAACCTTTTCTTCCTGACCTTCCACAACAAACCCTTCCGGTTGTCGCATCTAAACTTCTTCCTCTAGATCTCCATTCAAGAATGTTGTCTTGACATCCATTTGATGGATCACAAGATTGTGGATAGCCGCAAGTGCTATCAACAATCTTATAGTTGAGATTCTAGCAACAGGTGCATATGTATCGAAATAATCGATACCAGGTTTTTGTGTAAAACCTTGTGCCACTAACCGCCTTTGAACTTTTCAACCGTTCCATCAGTCCTCAATTTCCTTTTGAAGATCCATTTGCACCCAATTGGTTTATATTTTGGTGGTAAAGTAGCTAAATCCCAAGTATTGTTTCCCATGATGGATTCCATCTCATCATTAATAGCTTCCTTCCAAAATGGAGCATCACGAGACCTCATAGCCTCATCATAGGTCAAAGGATCATCTTCCACATTAAAAATGTATGGAAATTGTGTTGAAACAGATTCTCTTGATCCTTCAACTAAGTACACATAAAAGTCCGGGCCAAAAGATTTTTCTTTCCTTGCCCTCTTACTTCTCCTAGGTTGTGATGATGATGTAGATGCCTCCTCTAAATGAGTTTGGTCATCAACCTCTTGATCAATGACAATTTGATCAATACTTTGAGCATTGGCACTTGGAGTTATATCCTTTGGTCTAGGAATTGAAGAAAATCGATTTTCATCAAACAATGCATCCCTTGACTCAATGGTGGTGTGAACCGACCAAAAGTCATTTTGTTCTATTACATAGAACCTATAGGATTTGCTATGATCCGCATATCCTATAAAAATGCATTCAACTCCTCTTTCACCTAACTTTTTACGTTTAGGTTCCGGCACTTTTACAATTGCCCTACAACCCCAAACTTTGAGATGACTCAAGTTTGGTTTTCTTTTATACCAAAGCTCATATGGGGTTACATCTTTCCCTTTCATGGGAACACGATTTAACACGTAACAAGCCGTTAAAACGGCTTCACCCCAAAATCCATCACTTAAACCTGAATATGACAACATAGAATTTACCATTTCTTCTAGTGTCCTATTCTTCCTTTCCGCTACACCATTTTGTTGTGGTGTATATGCCGCGGTAGTTTCATGTACTAAACCTAAAGATTGGAAATAACTTGGGTCATAGTATTCACCACCTTTATCAGTTCTTAGCTTTTTAATCTTTTCATTGGTTTGCAATTCTACTTCACTTTTGTAAATTTTAAATTTATCAAGGGCTTCATCTTTAGAGAATAACAAATAAGTGTAACAAAACCTTGAATAATCATCAATAAAAGTTACCAAATATTTCTTATTCCCTAAAGAAGGTGTGTTATGAAAATCACACAAGTCACTATGCACTAATTCAAGCAATGAATTATTTTTCTCAGAGGAAATGGTTTTCTTGTGATTTTGGTTAACATGCATGTTCTACACTTCTCTATTCTTGGATCAAACACAGGTATCATATCATGCTTTGACATAAAATACAACTTTTTATAATTAATATGACCAAGTCGCAAATGCCATAGAGAAGAATTATCATTAACAACATACACAACCTCATTCAAAGTATTTGAAATACTTAATTTAAACATACCATTACACAAATAACCAAGTCCTACAAATTGACCTCCTTTAGACAAAATAAATTTATCTGACTCAAACATCATCTTAAAACCTAATCGATTCAAGATCGCACCGGATACAAGATTCCTCCTAAGTTCGGGAGAATACAACACATCTCTTAAAATAAGAGATTTTCCCGAACTAAAGACTAGCTCCACTTGTCCTTTGCCAAGCACCTTAGTTGTACAATCATTGCCCATATAGAGAATTTCTCCATCATCAACCTCAAAGAAGGTCTTGAACAATGATCTATCATTGCACACATGCCTCGATGCTCCCGAATCGATATACCACGAACAATCAGCCTGTACACAATTGATTTCAGAAATCATACACATATAATTCATAAATGAATTAAATGAAATTTGTGCACAAGATTTACCTTGTTTGTCTTGGGATTGGCTAGCATTGCCATTCCCATCTTGAGCCTTCTTGCTCATCCTTTTCTTCCACATTGTGCAATCTTTCTTGAAGTGACCGGATTTTCCACAAACCCAACAAGCACGTGACTTTGAACCATCACCGCTTAACTTAGGCTTCTTGCCTTTATTTTTGTTTGAGTCATTACCCCTTTTTCTCACATTTTGTTTGGCATCCTCCACTACATTTACCATAGTAGGGCTAGGATTTCCATCCTTATTTCCCTCTTGCAACCGGATTTCTTCCTCAATCCGGATGTGAGAAGTCAAACTCTCAAGGTTAACATCATCCTTCCTATGCTTTAAACCACTTTTAAAGTCTTTCCAAGAAAAAGGTAATTTGTCTATTATAGATGACACTACAAAGGTCTCATCAAGAACTATGTTATGCTGTCGAAGACTTCCTAAAATTCTTTGTATCTCATGAAATTATTCCATAACAGGCCTACTATCAATAATTTTATAATTATTAAATTTACTAACAAAAAACTTTTTGCTAGAAGCATCTTCAGCCATATATTTAGCCTCTAAATTATCCCATAGAGACTTAGCAGAATCAATAAACTGATAGATATCAAAGAGTTCATCAGACATACGTATATGGCCACAACAAATATAATTGTCATTCTCCCACTTGTTGCATTTCCTCACTTCATCCATTGTTTCCTCCTCCTTTTCCTCGGGTTTCGGAGTAGCAAGAACATAAGCCACCCCAACTGTAGTCAAGAAGAAATGCATCTTCCTCTGCCACCTTCGGAAATCAACACCTTCGAATTTGTCCAACTTTTGAATGTTGGCCATCAATTCCTTAACATTTGCCATCTTTGAGATTATACTTTTGGATTGTTGGGGAATTTGTGTATGAACAAGGGTCACAAAATAGCAAACAAATTAGAACGGAAAACTTCGAGGTGTGAACGGAATCACTTTCCCAAAAGTATAATTCCGACCCTATACTACAACCGGGTTTCACGGAAAATTACTTAGGAGATACAACGAAGAAACAATTGCAATCACAAGTAGGATGATTATAATTCAATGTAAATAAGCCTTTGGATTTATGATGATGATAATAAGTTGCAAAGAGGTTTCAAGAAAAATAAACTTCTGATTTTTCTCAAGTATATCCAACACGAAAATAATTGACATTCTTCAAGCAAAATTGACGAAACCATCAGTTCCTCTCTGACACGCGCCCGATCGGGCGGCAGGCGGAAATCGACGTCAACTCCAGGCGTCTTCTCGCGCCCGATCGGGCGGTGGTGGCCCGATCGGGCGGCTGCCCCAAACTCCAGAAGTCCATTCTCGCGCCCGATAGGGCAGCGACTGCCCGATCGGGCGGCGAAGATTACGATTTCCAGACTACCCTCGCGCCCGATCGGGCGAGCACCACCACGATCGGGCGTCTGACCGGGCGATGTACAGGGGTAGCAAACCAGAGTTTGAGTTGTTCTTTATCAATCTTTAATCAAGGTTAATTGCTTTAATATTCTTTATTAATTATACACAACACCTTTGCCTAAGTAATATAATTAATTAACATGAATTATGTCTCCAATTCTCAAAATTATTCAACAAGATTCAGTCACCAACAGAAAATAGAAATTGAGCCTTGAGACACTGTTCCATTGCCATCAAAATATCCAATACAAACAGAAATAATAATGAACAAAGCACTTAAATTAAAAGATTTCACCACTCCTAAAAATAACCAAACAAGCATAGATTCAAGCATCCAACTCTTTGCAAAAACAACAACAAAAAATTTGGAATGCCAACTAGCTTAGTTGATTAAAGACACCACATATAGTACCTAAAACCTCAGATCATATCCCGTCTACATCACTGCCCTTCGTAACTCCCAACACCCCCATAAAAAACAACAAAAGAAACCCTATTCATGGCAATTAATTATCAATTTCAATGGCATCAACAAACATCAAATTACTAATAAAATCAAAACCTGTGAATCCAAACCGAAATTGAGAGTAATAGGCCTAGGAAGCTCAGCAGAAACCACAAATTTAAGGCGATGAAGCTCCTTCCTCTGCAACACTAACCCATACGAACCAACAAACAGCTTCTGGACATGCCTAAAATCGGAAAATTTGAAGTACCCATGAGGGCAAAATTGGAAAGAAGGCGCAGTGTTTGTTGCTGCTGGAGAGTGGTTCATTTCGAATTACCCGTAACCAAAGAAACCCCACAAAAAAGCATCAAAAAAGTTCGATTTTTTCCCTTAAATTTCAGATTCTTACAGCCTGATCATCAGCTCAAATAATCAGGGAAGATTCAAACTTTTGTAGGTATTTTGTAAATTTTCAGAAATTCATATTTTGTGAAGTTGAAATTAGTGAAAGACTGGTAAGATTGTGGTGGGAGCAAGAGGAGAGAGAAAGATAGTGTGGATGAAAATGGTGTGGGTAAGGTTTAGGACGAATTGGGTGTTGGGATTTTGAAAAAGGTGTCATTTTCAACCTCAAAATTATCATCTTATAATCAAACAAATCAAGCTGAATTCCTTCTTTTTATCCAAATTACAAAATTTTCTTGGGTGTGGATTTATCAGTGTTTGTGTTTGGCACAGAGGTTGAAGGTGACAATGTGATTTGGCAGCAAGCATGGATAAGAGTATAGGACAGTAGCCATACGCTTAAATGCTTGATGAGTCCTACATTGATTGGGATTGTACCCAATTAAAATGGGTTTGGACTTTCGTACTACACCCTTATTTTGAAGTTTAAGAATCGTACTTACATGGGTAAAAACGTTATTCACTCTTATGGATTATGAATTGTATCATTGGGTTTTTAAATAATGTCATTCGAGATTTAGTGGTATTGTACAAAATCGCTCTTAATGTCAGTGGAACCGTAAAAAATCACTCTTAGTATACGGTACATAGGGGCCTAATACACTATTAATGGCGATAAAATAGTTCCAATAGTATTTTATATGAGTCCATGGGTAATGGTCCCATGATTTACTCTCCAAGTAAATCTGAAACTAGTGTATTGACCCAGGCATTGCCCTGGGATGTTGCTTAAAGGGCTTCTTTTTTTTTTTAAAATAAAGTGTTTGAATTTTTTAGTATTAATAATTTAGAAATACAATGTTAAAATATTGAAAATAATTGAAAGAGTAATATGAGTTCCATTTATTTTTAGTTTGGGTGTTTTTGTGTATTCTACATTTATGTGGATGAATGAAATATAAATTATTGCTAGTTAAGATGGCAAGACATGTGACATTCATTCCATGAGATTATGGGTTCAAAACTGCAGTTAACTTATTAACACGCGTGTTATGTGTCCATCGAAGTATGTAGTACTTTGTGTTTCGGGTGAAAACAATGGGACCTTGCCGAAGGTCCAATGAAGTGGATGAAGACTTGTCCGGTCCAAATAATGCTGGGCCAGAGGTTTCCTGCACAGCAAATACACGTAAACTGGCCTCGGGGTGGATCCAAGGAAGACCCCTCCGATGCCGAAGTCAAACGGTGTTTAGAGAGAGAAAGCTATGCAAGAGATTTAATGCTTGAGGCTTTAATGTGTATTAATGACAAATAGTGTAATTGAAGGCTTTTATACCTTGGCATGACAAAGGGAGGAGAATGATTGGGCCGGATTGAGTTACGGGCTGACCATGACAATTTGGACCAATTGACACATAGTTGACTTGGTCTGATTGGAGGCTTGGGCCTTGACCTTGGAATATTGGATCATTTAATGACTAGGCCCAAGTAGCTTAATTGGACCCAAACAACTTGCCCCCCAGACCCGATTTGGAAGGATGACGGGTCGGGTTTGAATCCAATAAAAATGGAGGGAAGTAAATGATTTAATTAAATCAAAAGATTTAAATTTTAAACAGTCATTAACTAAATAACTGTAATTAGGATGATTAATGGGAAGTTGAGTGGATAGTGGGTGGTTAATCAAGGGAGAGAGAGAGTTTAACGGTTACTTAGGAAGGCTTTTATGAGGAATTAAGCATTCTGACTTTCGAATTTCTCCTTTTCTGGAAACACAAAACCATTTTCGCCATTTCTCTCCTCATTTTTTCACTAATCTCTTCTCGAATTCTCTCAAGAAACCGCTGCCTCCACTTCGAAATTCCACTGTACACCCGAAATCAAAGCTCGACGCTTGAACCCGTTGCTCCGACTCGCTGAATCGGCGAGTTTCAATTCTCATAAAGGTAATTTTCCTCGATTTTCCTTCATTTTCTTAGTTTTCTCAAAGAACTCCTCTTTTCCCGACTTCCTTTCTTGCGAATTCGTCAATGGCTCGCTTAAGAGGTCGCCGGACTGGGAGGCGAGGTCAGGTCCGGGATCCCAGGGACTGCGCCGATGTTTGGAATGGGGAACGCGCCGAGGAAGACCCGGAAAGGGGAATTCTGGCGGTCCCCTTAAACGCCGCTGCTCCTCAGCAAGGGGCCGAGGCCGGACCTGCCCCTCAGCAGGGTGCCGAGGCTGAGGCTGCTGAACAGGGGGAAGATCTGCCTCCTGTTCTCTGGGATTTGTTACCTTGATATGCTGAATGGAAGGATGCCGAAGCCCAAAGAGCTATGACTGACAATACCCCTTATTACTGGTGGGTTAGGCATGCCGAAGCTTATCGGTTTGCCGAACAGATCGAATTACACTACGACATCTTTGAAGAAGACGGGTATTGGTGCCGAATGCCCTCGCCTACTGACAGAATTCACCGCCCTCCCCCTGGGTATGTGGGAGTATACACTCGGCAATTGCAGTACGGGCTTCGGTTTCCTTTGGATCCCTTCATCAGGGATATTCTAATAAAGTATAGGATTTCCCTATGCTAATTAACGCCTGTCAGCATTCGGCGGGTGATGACTTATCTCTGGGTGTGCCGGTTTTTTGCCGTCAAACCAAATCTGCATTGCTTCCGAAGGATGCATCAGCTAGTGCAGAACACCCAGAGCGTGTACGGCCAGCACGGGTCTTCAGGCTGGTGGCGAATAGAGAGCCGCCCTCAATATTTAACTATGTGGCCGAATGACTCTTCGGATAAGGACTGGAGAGGTCAGTGGATCTGGGTGAGGGCCCCTACCGATCCGGAGCATCCCTACTTTTTCGGGGCCCCTCGCTATCTCTCCAGGCCCGATCCGCTCATGCAAGATTTGGGTCCCGAAGACCCTAACGCCACCAGCCACCCAAGTTATCAACAGATGAGCTTCATCGGGAAACAGAGAAATCCTGGGGGGACCGGCCGACTGAAGTCCCTCCCGACTCGATGGCTTCCCGATAATCATTACGTCTTCCAAGAGAAGATGCTTGCAGTTGTCGGCCTCAGCCGAAAGTATAGAGACGGTAAGTACCTTCGGCTGGGGCCGGGGACTTTATTTTGTTATTGCCTTATTTGTTTTGTTTGTTTTAGGGCTAACCTTCGGCTTCTCCTTTCAGAGTTGAGCGAGGCTACCTCCGGCATTGACTACGGTCGGTTGGGAGTGAACGCTGAAAGGGTCATCCTAGACCGAGCTCCAGCTATCACTGCTCCGAAGGATCGTCCTTTGCACCTACACTCAACGGGCCTTCAGATCGAGGCTGCTGCAGATTATCTGTGTAACACCCCAATAATTCTCTCTTTAAACCTGTGAGGACCCTGAACAATATTCAAGAGAATTGTTGGCGTGCTACCGCCACGTGTTCAAACGTTAAGGCTTTATCAGAAAATAGCAGCGGAAAAACTAAATCAGTTATAAATAAGTTTCAAAACCAACGAATGAAACCAAATTAAGTCATACAACTTGGAACCATTAAGGCCCTTATTCAAAACCCAATAAAAGTAGTAAGTGATTAAATTCAGTGTTCAAATAAATTCAAACCCAAAAGAAATAGTGTCGAAAAAAATCGAATTAAAATAAATTCAAACTTGCAAAAGAAATAAAATGCAAACAACCAACTCTCTACTCAAGATCCCACAACCCTGATGAATGCTGCATGTGTAAGAACCTGTGGTAATTCTGCTCCCCAATATTACAAGTGTAAAAATTGGATCGTCACAGGGTCATTGAAAGGCGAAGGCCATGACCAAAAAAAGACACACGAAGCACGCAATCAGCAAAGCTGAGTACATACAAGCTGCAAAATAAATTAAGAAATCCATAACATGCTAATAATAATCAATCATCATGCATCATTAAATTATAGACTCAACACACGACTCAACTATTTATATTACTAAGACTCCATTAATTAATAATAGGTAAATCATTATTTTTATTCATTGGATTACGCAATAGACAAGGTTGTCCAACCCATGCTCCATTTGGAACATCAATAAAAGAAAAACCCCATGCCTCCTTTTGGAAACATCAATAAACATCCAACGACCACGGGCGCGACTCCGTGATCGTAGTTAGTATGAGATCTCACCTAACTCCTAGTTTTGAAAAATATTTGAAATAAGAGACTCGTAGATCAGACGGCCTCGAGAAAAGTACACGGCTAATACCCCATGTACCCAACCCCTGATTGTCATTACTCCAGAAGTGAACCAATCCAGAATTTTATTGCTCTTCCATCTTGCACTTTACGTGATTTACAGGTTTAGACTTGGTGATGACTCATATGCATAACAATACAATCAATCCAATATCAATTCAATCAAGTAAAACAACTTTTCAATTTCAATTCTTGATTTATTAGTGGCAAGCAACATTTATTATTTATTCCTTTACTACCTCGGTGTATAAACACCTTGAGTGCATAAGGCACCCCAAAACCTTAACCTCGTCTTAGAAGACTTAAATTCTTCCTTTACTCATCCTGCTTGCATAATCATGAATGAGTAATAAATTAATCATTACACCAATCATATACCTTTGCCTCTAAGCGCACCTTGCATAATTAGAGCACAAATAATACTTGCAATATAAAATAGTGCACGTCATACGAAATTCACAATGTATAACCAAACAATTTAACTCAGTCATCCCTATACATGATACTAAGTTCTCGATCCGTCGTCCTTAAACATGCACCTAAAAGAAAGGTTTCGTAACTTGTACGTACCTTGAGCAAACGAATTGGTATGCCACTTTACTAACTAGAAATCACCTTCAATAAACTCCTCTCCTAAGCCAAATAATAACATCTCAATCAATACCCAATCAATCAAATTTACAGCAATACTAACTTACTTTAAAACCTTCAAAATCCAAATCAAACAACACTTTAAAACCTTCCCTTTAGTTAAAATTAAAGGTTTATATATAGTTCTTTAAATTTTCTTCATAAAAACCTTAAAATACACTCTTATACATGAAATTACAACAAGTTCAAAGTCTAATAAAAATCTGAAAATTATATAAAAACCCCTAAAAATCTCCCTTTTTAGTGGGTGATTAAATCCTCTTTATAAAACATCAAAAGTAGTACTTAGAAACTATTTTCAACACTTAAAACTTCAATAAAAACATATATTTATGCTTAATTAACTTTAAACATAATTAATTTTATTAATCAAACTCAAGGATAATATTTTAAGTATAAAAAAAACTTTGTTAAAATCAAAAACTGCCCGAAAATCATATTTAGAGGCTGAATTTGGCCACGAAAGAGTCTTTCTTAAAACGTTGTTTACACATGGAAAACACTACTTTTTCATCAAAATCGGATGAGTT